TACATTTATTGTAATTTTTACATTTTATTATTATATTTATTAGAATGTAAATGACTTAGAGTAGACTACACATATTTAAAGCGAACAAGTTGATAGATTTTGACATATACATGAAAGTATCACCATGCTCAACATATTGAATCCATCTCATTCCTTCAAAACATTTCCTCATGTCTCTTTGCAAACCCTTCCCTCACATCCTAATTAACCACTAATCTTATTTTTGTCATCGTAGATTATAGTTCTCTAGGACTGGAATCATGCAGGATGTGGACTTTTGTAATTGGCTTCTTTTACAATCATAATATTTATCAGTCATTCATGTTGTTGTATGCATCTCTATTCAGTTCTCTCTGTCGGGTAAGTAGTATTCCATGATATAGATACTCCAAAATTTGTTTACCCATTCAATTTCACTAAATGTTTGTGTTATTCCCAATTTCTGGTAATTTTAGATAAATATACTGAATATAATCTATGACTGTAGAAGGGAGATTATGTGTGTATTGGGGAAAGGATTCTCAAGGGTAATGAAGACAATGGGAGGAAAAACAGAAAGTCAAATATTCTATGTTCTTTCTCATATGTGAAACATGTATACATACATGTATGACATGAATATAGAAGGGTGACTATTTGGGAAGAATGGGATCAGAAGTGGGGGCCAAATTAGGGTGATGTAAAGTGGGGAAATGAAGAAAGTGAAATTATAGACATGTATAAAAATATCACCAAAAACCTGTTATTTTGTATCCTTGTTGAGAAATTAAAAGGTTGCTTAAATGTAATTAGAAATTGTAGCTGCAGCCAGGTGTGCTGGTGCATGAATGTAATTCCAGCACTCAGGGAGGCAGAGGCAGATGGATCTCTGAATTTGAGGCCAGCCTGGTCTACAAAGCAAGTTCATGACAGCCAAGGCTATACAGAGAAACCCTGCCTCAAAAAAACAAAAACAAAAACAACAAAAAAACAAAAACAAAAGGTTGCTTAAAACTTTCATGTGCAAATTTTTGTGTGGACTTCTTTCACTTTCAGAACAGACAGGCTGGGTCATATGTTAGGTATATGTTTACTTTTCTAAAAATTTATTTTATTTTTATTTATATGTATGAGTGTTTGCCACAGGTGTGCCCATGTCTGGAGAGGCCTGAAGAGGGCACCAGATTCAACGGACCTAAGCGATTAGCATCTGCCTAACATGGGTGCTTGGATGAGAACTCAAGACTTAACCACAGAGCTGTTTCTCCAGCCCCGACATTTACTTTTATGACATTGCCAAAGTGCTTTCCAAAGTGGATGTATCCTTTAAAGATCTTACAGCAATGAATCAAACTTCCAATTGTCCATATTCTTGCCAAAAGTTGGAGTTCTTATTTGTTTCAATTACTAATCACTGTGTTGATGTCCATTGTTGCAGTGTTAATTCTCATTTCATGAATGACCAATTGCGTGTAATTATAGGCAGTTTTACATCCTTTATTATCATTTATTACAATTTATTCAATTAGTATCCCTGCTGTGGCCCCCTCCCTCCTCTCCTCCCAATCCTATACTCCTCCTATGCCCCTCCCCTAGTCCACTGATAAAGGAGGTCTTCCTCCCCTTCTATTTGACCCTATTCTATTAAGTCTCATCAGGACTGGTTGCATAGTCTTCCTCTGTGGGCTGGCAAGGGACCTTGAAGAGAGTGATACCCCAACCAAGGACAATGCATGGAGAGGACCTAAAAGCCCTGCTCAGATGTAGCCCATAGACTCAGTCTCTAAGTGGGATCCCTAATAAGGGGAGCAAGGACTTTCTCTGGCATGAACTCAGTGACTGGCTCTCTGTTCATCTTTAAATCTTTTTTTAAAATATGGAGTGTCTGATAAAATTTCATACATATTTTAAAGATTTATTTTATTATGTATACAATGTTCCGCCTGCATATGTGCCTGCACACCAGAAGAGGGCACCAGATCTCATTGTAGATGGTTGTGAACCTCCATGTGGGTCCTGGGAATTGAACTCAGGATCTCTGGAAAAGCAGACAGTACTCTTAAACTCTGAGCCATCTCTCCTGCCCCAAAGCTTTATATCTTATGAAGTCTCATTTTTTTTTTTTAATGAATCAATCTTTGGCACTGCCTAAATGCTCTTCTTGCTTTCCCTACTCATTTCTTATTCCAATTCTCCATATTAAGCAGAATCCTATGAAGGCTCCCAAGATTCTTGCTTCATGGAGTACCTGCCCTTTATAAGCTCTTTTTCTTTCTTTCTTTACCCTGTGTGTGTATAGTTTTTTTTTCTTTTACAGAAAATAGTTTTTTTTTTCTCATACAATATATCCTGATTATAGCTTCCCCTTCCTTTAACTCCTTCTAGTTCCTTTCCATCTCCCCTCCCTTCTGGATCCACTCCCTTTCTGTTTCTTGTTAGAAAAGAACAGAATTCAAGAGATAACAACCAAACATGACAAAATAAAATATATTAAGATGAAGCAAAAACTTTATATGGAAGCTGGACACATATAAATTCTTTCTTAAGTGTGAATTTGATGGGAAGCTTCCCTCTAATTAGGTCATATGGCAGAGGTGAAAGGATTTTGCAGATGTTAGTAAGATCCTAAGTCAGATTAGTCAAACAGAAGAAATGTTATCCTGGGCCTGACTTAATCAATGGAAGTTCTTGTCTAAGTGACAAGGAGATAGACTTGAACAAGATAGACTGAACTTGAACAACAGCCATGCTGAAATCTGCCTCTGGAGAAAGATACCTTCTTTGTTATCTCTTGGTGATGAGACCCAATGCAAGGCCTCATGCACATTAGATGAATACTTTAGGGTTTAACATTGAGCTCAGTCACTAAGGTATAACTAATAATTAATTGCTAGGGTTTTTTTTTAAAAAAAAAACTTTAATTGATTCTTTAGGAGTTTCATATCCATCCACTCCAGTCCCGCTCATCTCCTGTTCCCCTCATATCAACCCTTTCCCCTTGCAGGCCCCCCTCCAACATAAAATACACATACACATACACATACACATACACATACACATACACATACACATACACACATACAAACAACAAAAACAAAGCATACAAAACATATATTGTCATGGACGCTCTAGTATGTCACAGTTTGTCCCATAGTATATCCTTTTGTCCACATATCTTCACTTGCAAATGTTCACTGAAATGAGTCATTGGTCTGGTTCAAGACCTCTGGCTTCTGTGACACCTTCAGTAATGGATCCTCACTGAGACTCCTCCTGGTAATCCTATCCACACCCATACCTCCAGAGCCAGCTCCACTGATCTGCCTGGTGAAAGTGCAGGGCCCACTCTACCAAGTGCTGCAGTCTGGAGGGGCTGGGATAGCTCTCCTGCTCTCATACCCTCAGGCTGACTAACCCGTGCCTTCACCATCAGGGCCAGGTCCAGTGTGTTGCCCAGGTGACAGCCCTGTGCAGGGCCTGCTTTCCCGAAGACTACAACCAGTGAGAGGACTGGGCTAGGTCTCCCACTCCCATGACCCCAGGTTCAGCTGTCCCAACTTCTGCAGGGGGCGAAGCAGAGGGAAGGATAGAACATCTCCCCTGTAGCCTTACCACTCCATGCCAGACAGTGGTGGGGCCATCTCTCCTTCACTCTGTCCACTGGGCTGGCTCACCTGCTCCTTCTTCACCAGAGGCAGCTCTACTGTGCTTCTTAGAAGAGGTGCAAGGCCTGCTCTCCAGAGTGCTGCAGCCAGCAAGAGGCAGGTCCAGCTCAGCTGCTCTTATGACCTCAGGGCCAGTTCCTTCAACTATTACAGGTGATGAGGAGCAAACCAACGAGTAGCAGGCTAGCTCTCCTTCATTATTTCCTCTGGGCTGGCTCCCCTACTCCCCCTTGACAAAGGCCAGCAACACTACTGTGCTGTCCAGGTGAAGTGCAGGGCCTGTTCTCCCAAGCGCTGCAGCCAGTGAAGGGCAGGTATAGCTCTCCTGTTCTTATGACCCTGGGACCCTGCTCTCCCAAATGCTGAAGGTGGTGAGGGGAAAGGGAGAAGGCATTACCCCATACCCACATCACCTCATGGCATATGAATGGTGGGTCTAGCTTTCTCACTCTCACCCTCAGGGTTGGCTCACCTGCACCCCTACCACTGGAGTCAGCTCTGCTATGCTGTCCAGGTGAGGTGAAGGGCCTTCTCTCCTGAGCGCTGCAGCTGGTGATGGACAAGGATAGCTCTCCTGCATTTGCTCATGACTGTGTGGGCAGCTTTCCTGACTGCTGGAGGTGGCAAGGGGCACACAGGGCTTGGGGGGGCATCACTTTCTATGTCCATGACACATCACAGCAGGCAAGTGACTGGGTCAGCTCTCCCACACTCATGCTCTCAGGGCCAGCTCACCCATTAACCCAGCCACCAGAGCCAGCTCCACTGTGCTGCCTGGGTGAGACACAGGGCCCATTCTCCTGAGTGATTCTCTTGGTTAGATATGGGGACAGGTCTTAAGAATGCTGTATCCACTGAGGGTCAGGGCCAGTTATGCACAGCCCCTGGTCATCCATGTGGTCCCCTATAGCTGCCCAGACCAAGGACATCTCCACGTTCTCTAGTAGTAATATGAGCCAAGGACATTGACACCAACTCCTGCCACTGAGTAGCCATGGCCTCAGACATGGCCTTCAGAGGCAGCTCAGTCTGGGACCTCACCATGGTTCCAGATGGCAGGGCTGGCCACTCACAACAGGCTATTCCTTTCCACCCTTGTGTCTCCAGTTCCATCTCTCTTCACAATACTCAAGCTGCTCTACTTCTCTTTCTTTCTTCTCTGACCACCACATATTGTGATGGTTCCTGGTGCCGGCTAGCCACACAGCTGGTTGGCTCCTGAGTGACATCCTGCATCTGTGCTGCATGGTTTGGTGGCAAGTGGGTGTTTATGGCCTGCTTGTGCCTTGCACTGAGGGGCAGGTTTCTGTCTGTCTTTCTCCTCCTGTGCTGCAATGCCTGGATTTCATTTGATGTTTATGAGTCCTAGGCATAAGACAGCTTCAGGCAACATGCTAGGCCTCAAGCTAGGATGAACAAAGGACTGCTATCTGCTCTGCCCTCGATTGATATAAGAACAATATCACCAACAAGTTGTCTCTTTACCCATTGCCAGGAGGCTAAGGGTCTTATTGTCACAACTTTAAGGAATTGAATTCTGCCAATAGTATGAATGAGTTTTGAAAAGGCCCCAAGGTCCACATGAAAATACATCTTGGGAACATCATGATTTTTAGCCTCATGAGATGTGGAGCAGGAAACCCTGCTATGCTGTACTCAGACTCCTTATCTGCAGACACTGTGTGGCAGTGAATTGTTTTAAACCTGTTTGTCTTTTGTTAGGCAGAAATAGAAAGCAATACGCCTTTTTTTTCTTTTTTGTCAAACCACAGTTTTAATTTCTACAAGCTTATCATTTAACAAAAATCAACTTCTATTTCAAATAAATATTTTCATGTGTTTCAGAGATCTAAGGACTATTTGAAGGCTTACATTGCAAACTCTTGCAAAAGGCCTGATTGTATACTACCCTTTTATTTATTTATTTTTATACAATTCTATTCTTGTTTTACAGATGTAATATATTTTCAAATGTTCACTTGGGTGTTCATTGGAATTTTATTTAAATCAAGTTGTAGCTTTCTGCTCTAAATTTACTATATCTTGTTTTGTGTGTGTATGTGTGTGTGTGTTGTGTGTGTGTGTGTGTGTGTGATTTCTTTTATGTTCCAGACTTTCCTTGTACTTGATGTTCATTTGTTTCTTGTCCATCTTTTTAAATAAGACTTCTGGGAAAGAACTGGGACTTAGATATAATTTTGTTTATTAATCTTTTAAAGGTGGGGTCCAATTATTAAACTCCCAAAAGCCTGAGGCATTAACACTCAGCTAGCTGCTTTAATTCTTTTTAAATACTCAGTTCAGATTCTGTAATACAGAAATCCTTTTGTTTCAAACTGACAAATATTTGGCTTCCATCTCATCTGCATGTAGGGGTGAAGGGTTGCTTCTCCTATATACAGATCTGAGAGTTAATCCTGTTGCTAGTCCACTTCTCTGCTATATCTTCTGTACTGTGTTCTTGTAAAGGTTTGAAGGGTATACATGGTGCCTCTTTTATTTTATATTTATTTATTTATGAATGAGTGTGTATATTGGGGGAGCAAGCGTATGCCACCGAACCCTTGTGGATGACAGAGGACAATTTTCAGGAGTCACTGTCCTCTCTTTTTAATATGTGGACTCTGCGAATCAAACAGCAAGAGCCTTTATCCACTGAGCCATCTTACCAGTCCAGAGCTACCTCTTGCATCTGCAGCCTTTCCATATAGAGACTATATAGGTCTGTTCCTGTATTCTGCTTTATCAGGTAGCAAAATGTTCCACACATTTTCTGATTTTAGAAAAGCCTTTAAATGTCTTAGGCTCTGAGGTTTACTCTCCTTTTCCCTTGGCTGTGATGGGTTTATTACCGTGCCATTGCTTTAATGAAGTCTCTGGAGGAGTGGGACTTAAATGTTTATGTCAGCCTACCATCTTGAACTGGAACATATAGAGTGGGATCATTATGGTTCCTGTCACATGGGGTTTTTTTGTTTTTGAAGATTAAATGATACTTATGCATAAAGCATCTAGCAAAATACCAAGCAACACTTTATTTATAAATATTAGTTATTATTATTTTTGTTATTTCTGTGATTTGTGATTTAGGAATAGAATTTTGGGCACAATCTTACTTTTAAATATTTAATACAGTATTTTAATAAAATTTCTGAGAATTTCATATATTTATGCAATATATTTCAATCATATTCTCACACACATACTTTTCCTTCTAACTCCTTGAAGACCTACCCACCATCTTCTACCCTTCCTACATTTTTCCTCCTTTTGCTTTTTCTTTTTTTTTACTTTTTATTTTTATATTATTTACAGGTTATTCACATTTTATCCCAGCTGTAGTCTCCTCCTTCATTCCTTTCCAATCCACTCTCCCTCCCTCATCTCCTCCCATGCCCCTCTCCAAGTCCACTGATAAGGGAGGTCCTCCTTTCCTTCCATCTGACCCTAGCCTATCAGGTCTCATCAGGACTGGCTGCAGTGTCTTCCTCTGTGGACTGCTAAGGCTGCTCCCTCCTCAGGGGGAGGTGATCAAAGAGCCAGCCACTGAGTTGATGTCAGAGACAGTCCCTGTTCCCATTACTAGGGAACCCACTTGGAGACCGAGCTGCCATGGGCTACATCTGTGCAGGGGTTCTAGGTTATCTCTGTGCATGGTCCTTGGTTAGAGTATCAGTCTTGAGTCCAACATGTGCTGCCATATACTTATTCATGGATTCGTAGGGCCATCCACTGGAGTGTGGCCAACCTACTAGGGCATATATGACTGAAGAAAAAAGTCTCTTCCTCCACCAGTAGCCATCAATTGCCAATAGCTTTCCTGCTAGGGTTGGGGGAGACTCTTTTCATAATGTCCCTGAAAAGCATGCCAGGCAGGTTACCACTGTGGCTGATAATCAAGTCAAACTTGGTTTGAGTTTTAGTGTTTTTGCTTCCTGAAATGATGGAAAGCTATGAAAATGGGTGTTAGGAGAAGGTGCTGTCCCAGAAGGCAAGAATTGGAATGGAAGCAGTTAAAATCTCAAATTTCCCTTGCAGCTAACGGGAGCCAGCTGTGCTGACGGATGGAAGATGGTCATCATCTGCCACTGTTACTGCTGCTGTTGCTGCTACTGCAGGATGAAACAGAGGCCAGAATCAAGGCAAAGATGATGATAGCAAAGTGTTCAAAATTGCCAATGACCCCAGGAAGCTATAGAGATTAGAGAGTCAAACCAGAAGTTAAATAGACAGAGATCAGATATTTTTTTTGGCGGGGGGGGGGGGAGTTGAAAGTCTCTCTAGAAGCTCATTCTCATCGCTGTTCATCAGGATCCCTCATTTCCTCTTGTGTGACTGTGAGCAGGGCATTTGATGTTCATGTCTTACTTGACAGAAGTCTGTACGATCAGCCACTTACATACTCTCTTCTCCTCCAGGAGAGCCAGCTACTGGAGGATGGGACTAATTACAAATGTATTAGAAGCAGGTAGCTTCCTATATTTCATAAAATCTTTAATAGATCTGCCAAATCATACTCTTGTCCGGTGGGACCTTTCTAGCTAGTCTAGTAGACTGCCTAAAAGCACACAATTACCTGTAGGTTGGTGTTATTTTACTAGGGGGAGAGTGCCTAGCCTGATCTCAAACTCTTGGATTCAAGTGGTCTTCCAATCCCACCTTCCTCCTATAACTGTAGGCATTGCAACGATGCCCACTCATTTTTGTGTCTTCAGAATTAAAATGGTGTTTAGTATCAGGTCTTAAGTGTATTATAACCAGAAAAGATTAGGTCTAATTTTTTTAATTCAATCAATAAAGCTGTTTAGCCACCTTCCCCAAAGAGATGGAAGGGACGAAAAGCAGAGGAACCTATACCTGGCCTGTAAGGGCTGGGATGGTGGTGGGTAGAAGGAGAGACAGAGAGACAGAGACAGATCAGGAGAAATCTCAATCTGTACATGAAACTCGTATGATTTTTGAAGGCTCTCTCTTTCCTTTTATTTATCTTGTCACCCAGAAAGAGAACACCCAGAAAGAAATTTATATCTATTTTAAACCTTGGGAGGTCCCTTTCCTTCCAACACCTTTCCAGCAATACACAGTACAGCCAAGAGTGGTCCCAAACTTGACTTTGGGGCTATGAGTCTACTCACTAGCCACTGTATTTTTCCAGCACAACCATTTTCTCTGTCCCAGTCTCTATTCATGAGCACACTTATCCTTGTACTACCAAACTCTGCAGGATTGTTGAGAGCATTGATGGGATGGGCAGTCATGGAAGTCCAAATCATTTAGAGTCCATTAAGTATAAGATGCTTTTGTGTATTAGATATAATAAGGGTATGATAGCTGGCCTCAATTCAAAACAAGAAAATAAGAAGCAGAAAGCCATTTTTATTTCCTGAAATAAGGTTTCACTGTGCAGTCCAGGCTGGCTTTAAACTCTTCTCTTGCTACTTCTGTCTCAAGAGCTCAGTTTATAGGCATATTACACCAAGCCTGATTAAATTTTTGTTTGAAATAAAAATTTTCCTTATTATGAAAGCAATCTAATTATTGGGGATATACAGAAGTAACCAAAAAACAAAACAAAAACAAACCAAAAAACAAAAACAAAACCAAAACCCCTGACTTATGTCACATTTAATCGCATACAAACACAGGTAGCTTGAGTGAATAGGATTTCGGTCTATTTCCTTCCAGTCTCTTTTCCTCTATAAGGGCAAGGAGTGTGCCTGTTTGGTATACTTTATTTCCAGAATCTGTCACTATGCCAAACACAGATTGTCCATAAATATTTTTAATAAATTGGTATAGATATCCAAACATGCAGCTTTGTATCCTACTTTATCGGCTTCATCTTGAGAATATTTTTAATATTAACATTCTTTCAAAACATCTTTTTAAATGTTTCCCCTGAATTTCATCAGATCATTGCATTGGTACTCTACTAGAAGACATTCAGATTGTTTCCGACCTTCCAATTACAATCAATCTAAGCTGAGATAAATATCCCCATAGTTCTTATTGTGTCCATTGTTGTTTGTTTTCTTTGGATAAATTTCTAGCAATGGGATTCTTGGATAATCATAGTTGAAAGCTGCTAATACATACATTATTTTCTCCTCCACAAAAGTTGTACCAATTTACTTACCCACCAGCAATATAGACATTTTCCTTTGAAATGGGCCTGCTTTTGATTTTGACTTTTTCACATCTACCTATATTTTTTCTTTGTGACTCCTTCCATTGCATTTATACTCAGGAAGTCCTCAGGGAAGAGTCTTCAAGATGATAAAAGGTCAATTTGTATGCAGTTTTTGCTTTTGCAATGCAATGTATTCATGAAGGCTTTATCGTAAAATGGTCTACATACTGGGAAACAGACCAAGCTCATGCATATCCATGGCTGTACTCATCTATTCCAATGTGATCAGTTTCATCATCAGAAACAAACCAATGTGTGAATTAAGGCTGAAGTATAAGTGTTCAGAGAGCAGAGTTTCAGAGCGTGTGGTA